AAAACAAGCAAAACATACACACGATTAGAACTTACTGGGAAGCTTGTTTCCAAGACACAGTTTTTAACAAAAAGAAAAGAGAGGTGAGGGGCGAGGGGAGGGAAGATCTGCATTGTGCTAGGAAGAAACCAAGTGGTTCATCAGCACTAGTACAGGCAACTGCTGCAACTACAGATCCTCACAGCTGAAATATTGTCCTACAACTTACAACCCTATCTGGAAACAGACAGAATTCTAAAGCTGATAAATTGCCAAGGATAACTCAGTTTTCAGAGCATATATACCTATGTATTTATATAGGCATACATGCACACAGATAAATACTCTGGTTTTGGTTCACACGGCCATGTGTGTATTTTCAAATACAGACCAAATTAAGATTACATTTCCTAATAAATGAAGTCTGTAACCTGCCTGGAACGCCACAGCAAGGAATGACATTATACAAACAACCTCCAAGAACTAAAGATGAACTCAGTTTAAAAAAAGTTAAAAACAACCCAACTAGAAAACTGACATTTTTTGAATGGAAGTAGGGGGAAAATATTGAATCTTTACTTAAAAATCAGAGTTTGAAAACCCTCAGTGATGATCTAGAGGACACAAGCTGTTAATTTTGACTGTTCCATGTGACAAAAACACAGTCATAGAATAAAACACCTTTAAGATCACCAAGTCTAACCACTGAATTTACTCTACCAAGTCCACTACTAACCCATGTCCCTCAGCAGCACAGCTACAGAACTTTGAAACCCCTCCAGGGATGGGGACTCCACCATTGCCCTGGGCAGCCTGGCACAGCCCTGGACAACCCTTTCAGGGAAGACATTTTTCCTAATATCCAACCCAAACCTCCCCTGGTGCAAGTTGAGACCATCTCCTCTTGTCCTGTCATTTGTTCCTTCATAGAAAACTGACCCCCCCCCGGCTCCAGGCTCCTGTCAGGAGCTGTGCAGAGCCAGAAGGTCTCCCCTGAGCCTCCTTTGCTCCAGGCTCAGCACCCCCAGCTCCCTCAGCTGCTCCTCCCCACACTTGGGCTCTGGACCCTTCCCCACACTACCTGTAGTCACAACACATCTGGCTGAATGGGCCAGTAGTAAATGGCCAACAGAGCACACACTTGTTTTTGCCTGCAGTCTCAGTGCCTTTTGCATAAGCAATTATAAGAGAGCTACTGCTGCTTTTGCAGACAGCTGAGTCTCATTCTGTGTAACTTGCAAAAAAAAATCTGACATCAATTTACACAATTATTTTACAATAGCATTTGTGCATTAGTGATTAATTTACTTGATTTTCATTCATTCTCCTTGCCACTGCTTCCTCAAAGAAATAAATTGTGCCTTTTCTTTTTATTGCAATTTTTTTAAAAAGAGTGCTAATACTCTGCTCACAGCAAATTAACATGCTCCAGGTAAAGGCAGTTCAAGCCAGTGGAAGGAATTCACAGCAAACTAACATTTTTCAAAACACTGTGTTTTGCAGAAATTCTGTTTTTAATCAGTTATGAGTAGCAAAACAGGGTATTTCTGGGTAGACATCTACGTGATCCAGCTACTTAAAGCTGCAGAAATACTTATGGTCAGACAGTAAGTAACTAAGTTACTTAGATTCAGAAGACTCAAGCATTACAGCAATAGAGACAAGGGACACCCTTAAACTTCCCTCTTTCCACTTCTCAACCCATTTTACAGCTCTGCGTACTCCGCTGAACCCCACTCCCCATTTCTGGAACACTGGTGATAAGGAGCATTCAGCCAGGAACCCCATAACGCCACGCTCGGCTCTGGTCCCCCAGGAAGCAGGGCAGGGTGGTGTCTCCAGCTCAGGAGCAGCACAGCCACGTGAAGCCCACCATGCCCTCCAGGTACAGAACACAGGCAGGCAGCAGCCTGAGGAAAGCCCTCAGCACCGTGCAGCTTCTGAGAGCTAGCAGGTATGGTGGCCACGCTTCCAGCCGGGAAGAGGCCTGTCCTGCACAAAGGAGGAAGGTGATCTTCCCCAAGCCCAGTTTCGGAAGGCGAGTGCTGTCCACACTAACACACCTGCCTGGCAAACAGTCACGGCACAGCAAGGACAGCAGCAGACGCGTGGGGATCGTGGCCACAAAGGACACTCACATCCCAGCAAGCTTTAGGAAAAAGAGCAGCTTTTGCTGCAAGATACACTGATAGAGGTGACAACAGAAGTCCTCCTCAAGCAAAACCAAGCGTCATTTAGTGAAGGCCAGCATACATTCTTGTGAAAAATCATTATCTATTTGAGCCCAGCAGCCTAACAAGCAAGAGAACCTTTGTCTCCACCTACTGCTGCCTTTGATTTTCTAACAGCAGCCTGCCAGTGTGCTGCTTCAGCCTGCGCCCCATGCACAACACTGCTTTCAAGAGATGGTACCAGAGGGCAGAACCAACAGGCAGGATTCCCTTCCCAATCAGCACCACAGCTCCAAGCGCCAACAGCCAACCCACGGGAGAGCAAGAGATGCCCCACTCATCATCACCACCACGTGATCTTCACTGCACCTCCAGAGGCAATTTGCTCTCAATACTTTCTACAGACTCATGCTGACAAGTCCTTTAGTACAGAGGGAGAAAAGGAAGAGATCAACATCAACTTTCTAGTCAAGAAAAAAAAAAAAAAGGAACCACTTACATCTCCACACACTTGGAAATTCCTGCTAAAGGGCTTCACCATCAAAAAATACAAAAAAACACTTATCACTTCAGGTTTATCTACACTAAGTTTACCAGCACAATTACAGCCTCCAAAGGACCTTTTTTATTTCAGTGTAAATGTCCACACTGCTGTTTTAACCCTTACCAATTATATCACTACTCTTTATAATTATATTGCTTTTTATAGCTCTAACATGGTAGTTTTACAAGAGCATTTCCTCAAATATCAAAATATAGCTCAGTCACACATGGAACCTCTCACCAGGGAATTTAGAATTCTATTGCAATGGCGGTCTCAAAAACTTAAGTTTCATTTACCTGGCTCTAAATTTATTAACACACTTTCTGATAATTATTTGCATTTCAGTAATATTTGGAAGCACTGCTCAGCAACTGAAGCACAAACATGATTAATGCTGTCATCACATGAGGTATTCCCAAAGCCAGGTTTATTCTGAAGTGTTTACCAAACTGATTAAACAGTATCATTCAGATTTCCATCAGACAGGAAAAGCCTCAGCCCTTTTGTAGTGGGAAGTGTAGTAAATCCCCACCAATTTGAGTAAAGAAGTTCTACGGCTGCTAAAGCAGATCTCAAAAGCTGCCTGAGCCACTCAGGGTTTGGGCTCTCGTCTGTGAAATACACCAGTTCAGAAGAGTTTTGCTGGGGGGCGGGAAGCCCTCCATGAAACCAAATCAATAAACCCCTAAAGCATACAAACACAAACATCAGTAACCCTCAGAAATTCAAATGTCATTTAATTTTAATCTTCTGTAAGTTTTTGCCTATGAATATTTAGTACCCAAGCACAGGGATGGCTTCTCACCAGAGGCGGTGGGCTTTGCTGACGCCTCTGCAGGACGCAGGCAAAGACAGCGGCATCAGAGGTTGCCCAACAGGCAGGGTCACCCTTCCCTCTCCCACAGCCTCCAGGACACAGGCAGGCAAAGCACCTCTTCTGAAATACAGTTTAAGAACTCAAACTTCTAACCCCAGCTTTGGTTTTTATTAATAAACTATAGCTGCAAAGAACCTTCTTCAACACAACAGCAGCCTAAAGCAGTATGGGACACAAAACCAAGGAGGAGACCCAACCACCAGACTCATCATTTCTGGACAAGCCAATGGCATCAAGAGAGAAGACAGATGTTTCATTACTGATAGCTACAGGAAAAGCAACAGACCTTGGCACTTGGGAAGCAGAGCAAAACCATGCCAGGAGTTCCTACAGGATCGCCAGGCTGTAGGTCATTTAACTGCAGTCACCCTATGTGGGTAACAAAAAGACCCACCCACTCCTAAAAAAAGTGTTCAAGTTTCTAAGAGTATAAAAGACTGAGCAAAAATCAAGGCTGAATGAAAACCTGCGCAGCTTTAAAGAGTTGCTCAAAACAGTCTCAGATTTTAGCTGTTTTTGACAGCTCAGGCAAGCACCACCACAGCAGAGAGGAAAGGGGGGGGTCAGAATGCCTCTGGCTCACAGAGGGTACAAAGCCAATGCACAGTGCCCATTAGAATCAGGGAACCATTCAGGTTGGAAAAGACCTCCAAGATCAAGCCCAACACTACCAGGACCAATAAACCACACCCCTCACAGCACCGTATCTTTGTGTCTTTTAAAACCCTCCAGGGCTGGGGACTCCAGCACCTCCCTAGGCAGCCTGGGCCAATGTCTCACCACTCTGCCAGGAAAGAAATTCTTCCTCATAACCAATCCAAACCTCCCCTGGTACCACTGGAGCCCACTTCCTCTCATCCTGTCGCTAGTTCCTTGGGAGACCAACGCCCACCTCACTCCACCCTCCTTTTTGGGAGTTGTTGAGACCAAGAAGGTCTCCCCTCAGCCTCCTCTTCTCAAACAGGAACCTCATGCTACATGGTACACTACGAATTGCTGTTGATGAAACCAAACCACAGCAAACCCAGGCCTGGAATAGAGGACTCTGCAACAACAGAAGGTGACAAAAAAGACAAGGTAATTGGGAGTTTACAACCTTCACTATAGAGATTATGGGAAAGTATCTTAAAGAAAGGTCAGGTGGCCCCAAAGGAATTCACAGATTCTGGAGCTGAGGCTGCAATTCCTCAGCAGCATAAAAGCTACCTAGGAAGGGCTACTTCAGTCCCAGTCCTGCAGACGCTTATTTTAGCCACCCGATTTCACACCCACTTTTGACTTTCTTTGTCCCTGGGATAAACTGGTTCAGTAAACTAAACCA